ATTGGATAACTATAATGATGATTTGGTTTTTACCGAAAACTATAAATTCCTGACAGTTTTGTACCATAATTGACACTGTTGGAATAACATTCCTTTCACTTGTCTTCTGTCTCCTCATTTGCGACTTGGAGGGTTCTAGAGTTCGAGTGCTCAAGTTATACGTGGTATATCAAGAATGTAAGTTTTAAATATAACAACTGGCGACGGGGTTATCTTATCAAGATATCGTTTACTTTTGAACAATTTGAGGCCATACTGGAGCATCAAGAAAAACGTTTCGAACAGTAACAGATTCGTATTATAAAGACACTAACCCAACAAATGAACCTGAATAAAAAAAGGGTCACGGATGACCCTTTCAAATCTCATGTTGACCACATCACTAATTCTATTCGCGAATTTAATTTCGATGGTTCAGTTGGCATTATTTTGTAACCTAGCTCAAGAAATAAGATTTGTTCAAGGTCAACCTCAAAGAACTTGATGACACCGCCAAGGTCAAAATATTGCTAAAAACTTGGCATGTTGAACATAAAGATTACAGTAACTTCATCCTTCCGAAGAATCTAAGAGATTTTTCTTTTGATGCGATGACTGAGATTTTATCGCAAATCTTTGCTGAATAGTCGCCCTTGTTTAATACTCGTTATTAATGTTTCAAGATAACAAAAGCAGGTGATGATGACTGAGTGAAGCATGAGGTTTTGGTAAACTTTGAGTGTGAACGACTCAAACTACCAGCAACGACAGATCATTTTAGGTGTCTCGTGTTTGTGTGCAGCCTCCAATCTTCCGAAGATGCTGATATTAAAACCAGAATTTTGAGTAAAATTGAACAGTGCCCGAACATAACACTACAAGAAATAACCACGAAGTGCCAGAGATTCATAAAATTAAAACACGATACTTCCATGGCCGAAAATAATAGTCGGTTGATACACGTTCATGTTGAAAGCGAAAAGAAAAATTCTTGCTCAAGAAAAGTATAGCGCACAGACAACCAACCCTCATCTTCTTGCTCTTCATATGGAGGTTGGCACTATAAAAGGTTGTGCCGATGTAAAGGACATTGTTGCGGTAAATGTCATCGGAAGGGCCTTAAAAAGACAGGCTGAAGAAAAGAGCCCTTAAACGACATTCTTCGAAACCATACGTCAAGAAATGCAGGCCTGGTGCATGAACTAACAAAATATTGGCATCACATAACCGGGCACGAATTTCCCGCCAAAGGAAGTATGTTGACTTGGATATTGATAAACAATGTGCCCGCCTGCACCTCGATACTGCTTTCGGCATCATAATTATTAGCCAAAGAACCTGGAAGCACATTAAAAACTTCAGGTGCTCCCAACAACCCAGTTAGCTTATAATGCATCTGTAGGGAAATTAAATGTTCTTAGAGAGGTTTGTTGGACAGTTCCAAAAGGAAATGCGAAGATGAATGCAACATGATATCTCACTGAGAATCCAGAACTAGACTTGCTGGGTCTATACCTGATAGAAACACTACAGTTAGCAAATCATTCTATAAATCATATATTCAGCTGCGTGAGAACCAATAAACCAGCGGAAAAGAATCTGAGGGATGTTGTGCTTGAAAATCATGGTCAAGTGTTTACGGAAGAATTAAGGGAATGTAAAAAGGTAAAAGCACCATTAATTCTTAAACCGGGAGTCCCCTCCGTTTTTAGGCCAAAACGTCCGTTACCCTGTGCAGCCCTTCCTGTTGTTGAACAAGAATTAGAGCGCCTATAAAGAAGTGGAATCACAGAACCAATGAATTTTCCGATTGGGCAGCACCGGTAATGATTGTTAAAAAGCCAAATAGATGTATCCGGAAATGCGCCGATTATTTGACTGGATTGAACCAAGCACTTGAAGCCCATCAGTAGCATTTCCCGTTATCAGAAGACTTATTTGCGAAAATTCATGGGAGGCGAAGTATTTTGCAAAATTGGACCTATCAAAAGCTTATTTACAGATTCCAGTAGCGGAGGAGTGCAAGCGTTACTTGAAAATAAACACTCATAAAGGATCGTTCCGATATAACAGACTTTTTATCGGAGTAAAGACCACCCCTTCAATCTTCAAACAATTTATGAATACTATGCTACAAGGTATTATTAGTACCGCGGATTATCTAGATGGCATACTAATCATGGATACGGACTATGCTGACTTAGAGAATAAGGTGGATACGGTCCTCAGACGCATAGCAGATTATGTGTCCAGATTACGTGCTGAACAGTGTGATTTCTACGTGGAGCAAGTTCGCTATTTGAGATTCATAATCGATAAAAATGGGAAAAAACCTGATCGTGAAAACGTCGAGGCTATCAAGTCCATGAATCCCCCGACTGATGTGTCGACTCAACGTTTCTTCTTGGGAATGTTTAGTCATCATGGCGTTTTTCTTCCAGATCTGCCCCGCCTCTGTGCTCCTCTTAATGGGTTACTGAAAAAGGATACCATATGGTTCTGGTCAGTTAAATGCCAAGAAGCATTCCTAAACCTAAAACAGCTCTTATCATCAAACCTTCTGCTTAAACACTATGATCCAGATCTTCCAATTGTAGTCGCAACAGATGCGTCAAACTACGGAAGCGGAGCAGCAATTTCGTATGCCTACCCTGATGCGTCTGGGAAGCTAATCGCCCACGCAGCACGATTGCTGACTATGACAGAAAGGAACTACAGTCAGATAGAGAAAGAAGCCCTCTCTATTATATTCACTGCAAGAAAGTTCTACAAGATGCTGTTTGGCAGACATTTCACCTTAATGATAGACCGTAAACCACTGCAGACAGTTTTTGAGTCCAAGAAGAGTATCCCTATGTATATAACTAACCGTCAACAGAGATGGGCATATGCCCTCTCAAGAATAATTATTTCCCATGCAAAACAAGAAGAGGTGGTGTTTGTAGCTGCCGAAGATGGTGAGGCTGAGGTTCACATAGTACTGGCAGACGCAGTTTCCGGAATGTCGGTCACATCCAAAGCCATTAAAGAAGCTAATGAGACCTTCATCTAGACTACATGGAGGGTTCTTACAATATTTTCGTTTATGAGATTCTTCGAAAGTTGTCCATTTTACCGACCATTTCTTAATATAATTGACCAGGCTGAGATCCTCACGGACATATAGTCCAGATCCAATAAGTTTGCTTGAGTACCAGGTTTCTTTCTTCAGCCGAAACATAGGTAACTTTCAAGAGGAGGCTTCTCTGAGTATTTTCAGAAACCACCTTTTTCCTTTTCCATAAAGCTTTACATATGCTAAGTCTTGAAACTGTTTCTGGGAGCAGCTTTCTTATTAAGGACTTAATGCGGCTGATGTTGTGATCAAATCTAGCCTTTGGTTTCTTCTCGTAAGATTCTCTTAACTTATGAAAAATGATTGACCTGTAAGCGAAGTCCATCTTAACACGTGGAATTTTCATTTCTAGAATCTTCTCCTTTTTCTGGGTGTGACTATAAGTCAATCATTCACCTAATGTTTTCTCTTGATCACATCCTCTACACCTCTCAGACTTGGCTTTACCATAGTCTGTTTTGCGTTGGTATGCGAATCAGGAACTGAAATCGAAGATTCACATACTTTTGCGCAGCCTACAATTTGTTTCTTCTCAGCTTGCTTTTCCGTTTTCCTTGTAAAAACGCCTATATCGTTGTGCTTGTTATCCGCTTTCCTAATGGAGTCTACCGTGTTGGTCCTATTCAAATCAAAAGCTGGGCTCATGACAACTCCCGCCGTTTTCTCGACAGCTGAATTCTGCACATCTACTGCTGTTTGTTTACCTGAAGGCAACTTTCTAGCTATGTTCAACAGTTAAATTGCCTCGAGAATCAGTAGAGACTTTATAAAACAGCATGTTTTGCACAGCCAACGTGATAGTGGCTTACGGCACCTTTTATATACAGCCGATGTGAGTTCAGTGCACACAATGTAATACCACTTATTGCCGTTGTCACAATGCATCCCATCATCGAGAGGGGAATAGCATGTAGGTCTGTCACAACGATGTTTTACTTGCGTCAAACAGAGGAAATTGATCGAAAGATAAAGTATCTTTTGTAGAATCAAAGCTAACGTTTGGACTGAAGAATAACTGTCTAGGTAGGTTAGATACGCGCTATTGCCTATTTGAAACGCAAGCAATGTGATTGGGTAAATGACGGTTCTAGATTTATAAATACAAATGTACATAATTACCTAAACAAATATTACCGCACAGTTATTTAATCAATAATTGTTCAGTCAGTTCATAAATCCACATCACAATATATAACGAAGTTGATAAAGGATGCAAAAAAATTACCAAGCGCCACAAATAAGTACTATTCTATCACGTACAGATTCGTTCAAACTATAACTTTTGGTTGCTTTCTAACACAGTGTTTCTCATTCTGGAAAAATGCTTCAATTCACAATCAAAAATGTACGATTCCATTCAATATAAGCATCACAATCAAATGGAGAACAAATCAATGTGGCTGCCGTCAAGACTAAGTATCAACTAAACAAAAATTTAGTTCAGGAAGAAACATGGAAGCTCAGTGAAAAATAAAAACTATAAAAAACACAAATATAATCACCTCGAATGGAATCAAAAAGGCTAACAAAATGTGCAACCGAAGGAATCAATAGGAATAAATTACAAGTGTGTACATGGAGGGATTTTCACACAGAAAACCTTCAAATTGGGTTACAAAAAGACCTCAACACCTTTGAATACAAACAATACTAATAGATATACTCGACGAGGAAAAAGCCAGTGCCTTTCTTGTATCTGTACTCAAGAGGTACAGGTGAATAACTTCTCTAGAAGAAGCAAAAACAACAATCACAAAATGATCAATACTAAAAATATACTCAGAGGACAAATGAAACTGTCCTTTTTAAATAAGGCAATCGCTATTTCATATATCATTTGTAGTAAACTGCATTTTTTGTTAAGAATGGTGGCCTGATGTTTGTTTATACCTTTCAATAAAAATTCACAAGGCGCGCGAGGGTTCTTAGGCGACATAACTTCAATGAGATTGACTTCATGTTGGTGCTTGTAAGTTTTCTGTCAAATTTTCTTACTAGTGTTTGTTGTTCTGTATGCTTACCTATATATTTCGTATTTTTTTTAAAGCCGAATCCATATCAGCTCGATTTAAGGGCTGGGCAATGCGCCATGCCATTCAATAGCTCGCAGTTAGACTGTGCTTCTCCCGATTTAGTGACAGTTATAGTTCACAGCCTTATGTGTCATCGGCAGAGTGGAGAATCTGAAGAGTTTGCAAGACGCGCGATTGAGAGTCTTGTGAAAAAATTGAAAGAAAGGCAAGAAGACTTGGAATCCTTGGTAACTGCCATAACAACGAGTGGCAGCCAACCAAGTAAGTGTGTTACAATACAAAGAACTTTGGACGGACGTATGCAGGTATTGTGAAGCTTGTTATTACACTGTATGCTGTTCAGATTGCTGGGCGGAAATGTCTTCCTCACATTATTTATTCACGAATATGGCGCTGGCCTGATTTGCATCGAAATGAGTTAAGACACTCCAAACATTGTTTATTTGGATTTGAACTGAAACAAGATTGCGTGTGTATTAATCCTTACCACTATGAAAGAGTTGTTTCTCCTGTTGACTTGGCTACTCTGAGCCTTAGTCCTGCACCAGAAAAAGAAGGTAAATCTTTGTAATTTCTGACCGATACAATTTTTTTCATATGTAATCCTTGTTAGTTATTCACAAGTATCTTATGCGATCCATGTTTTCAAGACACAGAATTTAATCAGGGTTTGCTCTGGTAGTTTGGCTGTCAGCCATACAGTAGTCTTTCTAGTGTAATAATAATAAATTAGGGATGTATTAGATGATCACAGAGATCTTAGATTTAGTACTGACTTTGTATCCAACATGAGACTAGTGTAACTATACAGCCAAAACTGTCCGTGCAACTAGCCAGTTACGGGTAACTCAGAACCTTACATGTGCATCAGTTGAAGCTGTCAGCTAATTTGTCATGATAAATACCATACTGGTAAAATTAGTATTAACATAATTGAAAATGATACCAAGCACTTTGAAAAGATATGTTTCGATAAAAGCGAGTTCTCCGGATAAAATACACCCAGTCTCCAATGAATGGTCATTATAATTTCATGAATTACAACTAGGTAATCTATGCCTATCAATATAGTGCAAATCAACACTCAAGAGCTTTGTAGATCAATGCCTCGTTTTAGTTTAACCCCCTAACATACAACCTACTTCACCACCCGCCATCGAGCGTCAATGTCGGCGGGATTTTAAACACAACATCTCATTCACCTCGATCGGTGGAGAGTGAATATCTTGATATTAGGCTTTCCATGTATGCCCAACACTACCTAATGTTAGTTGTTCATCCATTGACTTCAGCTTACTCAAACACTTAGGGTATCTATTATGAAATAATGATGACTTGCAGACATCATTTATTTCCATAGTCCACGCTTCACTTCTAAGATTAGTAAGGTAGTCAACGCGTTTTTGTTTCTTATTTATTCGCTCTGGTGTTAACGGTCATCAACCATTCTCAAACCGACCAAATGTCTTGTAACAGTTCAAACATAATTGTATCTACCATTAGTCGATAAGGAAATCTGAAAAGTGGTCAGTTTTTGTCCCTGTGAGATTATGTATATAACAAAGTGGGGTAGCTCGTCATATGCTTTGACTTGACCAGTGGTGTTCAATTAGAGAGGTTCCTGCAATCTATGTACATCTTCGATACACCTTGTCAAATGACAAACTGTCACAACTTCTAGGTCAACAAAGTTAAACGCTGCTTTCGTTTTAGGAAATACCGCTATTGTCGGGCGTTTGTAGGTATGTTTATGTTCTACAGTCTGACAAGGTGAATAATTGATTGGTTGCCAAGTGTGCTTTCGCAGTGGTTTTGGTGAATCAGTTGTTTACTAGCTTTAGCGAGTCGTTTTATAGTTTCAGAGGTGGTTTAGTTAAGCTTTCACTGTCCTCCTAGACGGCACCAGTTCACATTGAAAGAAAGAGGTAAACGATTATGATTTCCCAACATTTGAACAACAGCTTGTCCTGTTGACCCGCGTTTTGATCATAATTATGTTTTTATTTGCATCTTTGTTTTGATTGTCTTTGCTAGTCTGATCTGTGGTTTTGTATGTATTCTTTTCCTATTTGGTTGGTAGGTTGGGTCGGTTTCGGTATATACCGGTTGATGTTTTTAAAAATTCCCGGGTTTTGGGGTCTACGAAATCTCAGTGTTCTCCTAGTTTATAATTTTCCAAACGCATGAATACAAGCAAAAATATATAGCATCCGATGGCTCATAGGTGTTCACGTAGATGCTGGGAGCACGGCTACCCTGTATTATTTCTTAGAATTGTCTGTTTCCCGATTTTATGTGTTGATTTTATGCTCGGTTTGGTCATTATTTGACAAGGTTCTATAGGTAGCCATTTCTCCAATATTCGCCCATTAGGCATGTCTGTTCATTTCTTCATGTAGTATCGGTACATAAGCATGTTTTACTATGGAACAGGCTTTTTATACAGCTGTAGTCGTTTCTGTCATAATTGGCAGTTCGGTTAGCGTGGTTTGGTTTCCGATGTACACGAGCCTTAAATTTTTTCTCATTAGTTATGGTGATCAACACGTCGAAGAATGGTAGTTTGTTGCCTGGTTTCGTTTCTGATGTATATCATATGTCATCGATGACTTGATCAAATTGTAAGTGCCTTCCAGCCGGTCCTTTACGATTACGAAAAATGTAGTGCATTTGATTATTCGACCTGATCTTGACACCTAAAGTTTTCGGCATCTGCTTTACTGCTCCTGCAATTAGTTCCGTAATCTTGTTATTGTCCTTTATGTTTGTACATTCTATTGTTCTTTTGGAAATATGTTGTTACACACCAGTTGATTAACTCAAATAAACGGTGGCTGAAGTTGGATGTATTCTGAAGGATTTGTATCGTTAGTGAGGGGCAACAATGTAGTGTTTTTTTGCTAACTTTGGTTCATCTGAGATAAAGCTGTGAGGATTATTGAGACCAATAATTTAACTATTGATAGTCAAAGCAATTTCTCAGTGATCATCACAAAAACACTTTCTGTAAGTGTCATTACTGTTTAACTGGCATATCTCTTCAGATTATGTAGGGTGTTTATTATAACGGCAACGTTAGAAATCTCGATTATTTCGTCCTGCTATGATTTAGTTATTTCGGTACCTGCTTCAGGAATCTCGATCACTGAAATATGCGGATTTTTCAGAGTATCATGTTATTATGGAATATAATTTCAAACTCAAATATGCTGATTTTTCTAATGGGCTTTGCATGTAAAATGCAGAATGTCCCATAAATGTACCCAATGTAATAAGCAAAAGGCAGATGGGTGCTTAAAGTATCAGAAGTGGATATTTATCTTTAGTACTTCAATTGTCGTTAATATTTACGGTAGACACTAAACGAAATAGACACAGTTTTACTTTAGGATAGTCAGTACAGTGGGATATCCCGATCAACTACAATTTGGTAGTTTGTCATTTCATTTTGCTTAACGCATATACACCATCCTCATATTTATCGGGAAAAAGCATTCTGTATCTGGAAGAATTAATGTTATACTTTCATCTCTCGGATCTTCAGTTAAGTGTCAATTGGTATGTTCCTTCCTAAATAAATACCTTCGCAAGGATCAAGGAAGAATAATCAAAATGGATCATACTAAACCTCTTTTTGGGTGTAAAAAGAGATTACAACAATTACATTTTCGGCTGTAAGCCATATTTCTTACGTTTCGTCAAGGGACCCTGATTGGTTCTTCGGATTAAATGAGGTTGAAGGGGATGTAAATACAATTTAGTCGATCATAATCCACGTGATTCAAATGTGGATTAGCCAGAATTACCGTACCACATCACGATATGATAAAATTAACAGGATTGATGGCAAGGTTCGAGTTATTTAATGGCATTTAGAATTAGACTAAGTAAACATTAAAAATACGGTTTGAGAAGATGAAGTAAAAAAGACATATATTCAAGAATATTTCAGTTCGAGATTTAAAGGAAGATGAGTAAGTGTATGCTCGCAATACCTCCAACTGTGGTCTGATACCACCTTTAATACAAGGCAGTTCTTATCCATCCAAAGAGTAAAGCCTCAGTTTTAATCATTTTCTACACTGTAAGTCAGTGTAAAATAACTACAGTCATTAAACAAACATTTTCTTTTACAGAAATCTTTAGAATAAAACCCTCTTTCTAGTCTCGGGATTTTCGTTAATCGCACTATAATATAATTATTCTTTATTTTCAGGCATGTGTAGCGACACAGAAAGTGAATCCAACTGTCCGGACTCCCTAGTTTCTGGATTCAAGGGAGCTCAAATAGCTGATATGGGATCATGTTTGCCAGGAGATCCTATTAATGAAGGGAAAAATTGTAATTCCTCCGCCTTATTATCCACTCATCCTCGTCTTACTGTTCGAGATCTTCTTGGTGAACATATATCTCACACAGGTAGTGCTATTTACTTGTTAATATTTATATATAATACCAAAATCTTGGAATATGTGAAATGGTTTAAGGCTAAAGTCGCTTTTGATTAGTGATATGAGCAGGAGTTAAATCCAGTAGTCAGGTTTTTGGCAGATGAATAACTTAAAAAGCTGATATCCTTTAATCGTCGTTTTCCTGTCAATAACTTGCATATAAGCATGTTATTTCATTGGATTAGAAAATCTATTCTTCGGTGGTCTTGTCTTTGATATTCAGTCCTTTCGTAGCTTTAAATCCACATTCCAGTTTTGTAAGCAGCAGTCACTTGGCTAGGTCACATCCTTGCATCATATCTGTCTATCAGGGTTCTATTTATTCACTTTTAATGCCTGACGACTTCGTTCATTCACCAAATCACAATCTACTCAATTTCAAAGATTGTCAAAAGCCATATAACTATAATAGTTTCTTTAGATATCTGTTGTACATACTGTTTATTATCAATAATAATGTCACTAGTTCTGGTGAAGCCTAAAAGTCAATTAGTTTGAGGTATAGTGATTTGTGATACCACTCAATCCATTGTTAAAAATAGTTATCTTTGAAAACAGGTCAAAGTTATTTCAAACCGTAGGATTCCATTACCACATTGTCCCTCGATTCAAATAAACTCGGCCGATTTAAAACCGAGTATAGTATTATCTGATCATTCGCTTTCTAACTCTAGCTTCATCGTCCTCTAGTGACGAAGAGATCAGAAAATATCTTGGTAAGTTCATTTGTACCTTTGCGTGGCTGGATTGTTTTGATCTTCAAGCACAAAACAGTCTGATTCTTCTAAAATATCTTAATTAAAGATTGGTTTATGTCTAGATCTTCTTCAAAGATAAGTAAGGAAATTATTATTTTCCTGGAAACAATTTTTGTGTGCATTATTGTTCCTACTTGTCCACTATTTTATATATTCGTCTACCGGCTTCTGAATTTATGACCCAGTAAGAATTTCCCACTGCTTGAAATCAATGGCCTGTGTTCTATCAATCAGTCTTATGTCGTTTGACGGGAGACTTCAAGATTGTTTTTCAAATATTTTGACATCTTATATTCATATTTTTCTTCAATAAGAACAGTTCAGACTTCGTGCTTTTTATAAGACTACTTCGTTGTTAATAAAGCCCTGTTTAGTGATAAAGCTACCTTTCTTTTCAGGTTGCTCAAAAAATCAAGAGTGTGATTTGGAACAGACTCCTTTATTATCCAACTCACAGATCGATTCGTCTCCAGCGCTCTCATCAAGCATTTCGGTATCGAGAGTTAACCCAGCTCCACATTTGGATAGAGGACAGAGCACTATGGCCTGGTCAGGTATCGCTAACCAAAACCATCCAAATACATTTATTCATTCTGCTACTAACTTCTCGAAAGACAGTTCCATAGAATCGGAAAACACGTGTGTAACAGGATATTCGAAAGTGATCCCTGTGAATTTGCCTACGATTAGGACGATGGATGTTTTTAAGTGTACGATCGATCCGCCTATTATTTTTACGCCAGTCCAAACCAACAGCCTTTTAACAAGTAGTTTCGTTCCAACAGCATATTCCTCAAACGCAACTCCAGTTTGTCTATCAGGCAACACTAATGGTGCTGTAAATAATAGCTCTAATAAACGTCCTGGTGGCTCTTCAGGAACTGCGGGTGGTTGTAGTACTGGGGGATCTGGTTTTGGCAGCGGTGCACCATGTAGTGGAGTAGGTGGTGCGGCTGGAGCTGGTGGTGGTGGGTGGGGCAATCGTAGGGGTCCCCCTGCCCCACCATTCACTCCTTCTGGATCTCTACTCCAGGTAAGCTTTTATTCATGTTTTTTAAAGTATGAGGGTGTTTGGAGTAGTTATAATGTTCTTAGCAGTGAGCTAGGGTTGTGTTTCTTACGGTTATAATTACTTTTGGGGACTATACTTTGCAGGTGGTACTGACAGTCTACTCCTAATATTTCAGTTATTTGGTCTCACTTGTTCCGGCCAGGATATGCTGCTAAAATATCGAGCTTGCTACTTCTAGATTCTTAGCTTCTAAATAGCAAAGAATTGAGTAATACCAGTTAAGGCCTTAACTTAAAATTAATTTATGGAGAAGCTACTTATAAATAAGACCAGTTGGTAGTTGCTTATGTACAACTTGTTCTAGTATTATCGAAACCGATCGACGGGAAAGTACATCTGTGGACTGTTTTGTGACAAAATAACTACGATAGTAATCCTGATCTAAAGTTTTTGTAACTGATCAAATTTTCATAGTAGTTAGTCAGTTTCAGAATCTCCGTTAACTATGAAACTTGGGACATTTCTGGTGTAACGACTCATCGTTTAGATGTTGATTATAGGACTATTTAATTTAATGATACTAAAAAAATTATTTATTTAAACACATAAACATTGGTACAAGGAAGCACCAAATAGATATGCGCTACGTAAATCATTCGATTTGTGTGAGAGCTGGGATACTGCTCGGGCGCCCAAACCGAAGCATGTGGTTTTCTTAGGGGGCCACACACGAAGCCTTCAACCTAAAGGTCTGATCCATAAGGCAGTGGAGCAACGTAAGGAGATACAGTCCCATAGTAGCCGGTGACTAACGATTGGTGCACACACCATTTGTTCCTTCAGGATACTAGAGTCCATGTGCACCATTGGTTTTAAATCAGAATTTTCCAACTCCCTTAGGTAGACTCCGTGTCCACCAACCCGGTTAAAGCGCTGGACATTCGCTTTTGGTCCTCTCGATTCCGTAAATAACACTGCCACCAGCGAGTAGGTCTTCCCTGGCAGTGATTGTATGCACGTGGCAGCATTTGGAGAGGGAGAGAGGACTCTTTCCACTCTCAGCCGTATCAGGGCATTTGAGGGCAATTTAATGATATTATGAATGTTATAAATTTCAACTGATTGAGAACAGTCAAATCATGCTTTTCAGGTATTCATTTGTTTATCTCTGTTATTCTATTAACGTATTAGAGAAGTTAATTTTGTGTATAATCAGTAAGAATTGTGTTATGTAGTGCTACTAAGTTGTATTTAGTTTTGTCGTTTACATACTTCAGAGACTTAGTTCGTTTTCTATATTTGCAGCCGTTGCCAGTCCTAACTACACAACGTCCTCCTGAATACTGGTGCAACATTGCTTACTTTGAACTGGACCAACAGGTCGGTGAATTGTTTAAAGTTCCAAGCCAGTATTCACGTGTCACCGTTGACGGTTACACGGATCCTTCTAGTCCAAATCGTTTTTGTCTCGGACAACTATCAAATGTACACCGGTAAGTTCAGTTCCTCACTTTCGTTGAACAACCAGTTCACTTAGTCATTAGAGGACTTAATCGGATTCTTTTTTTTTACTTTCCAAGGCTAATACTTAACAGCTCTAATATTTCAGTGCAACTAAATTATCTTGTAAAAGTTCATGCACAGAAATAAGAGCAATTTTCCACAAGTGGTTACTAATGATCATATTCGGTTATTCCGAGCAAAGGTTTTAAAGTTGGTTATTTTGATCACTAAAATACTGTTCCATACATATCTGATAGTGATTCCATATTGTTGCAAACTTATCAGCAGATGTAACTCATGGAAATATTGATTAATCATTTCCTTATACCACCGGTTTTCTAACCGAAGTTCATTATACTATCGTGGTTGTAATCGTGATGGGACATAGTAACGTTTTTGTAATTTTGAAACTTTATGTTCCTGTCACTGTCTCAACTGAGGAATCGATTGGAGTTTATATATGATAATTACCTAGTTGCTTAACTGTTCTCCACATAACTCAACCCAATGTACATTTGTGCTTGACTCCTACGTTAATTATGACTGACCATGGATTTCAGGAATTCACTTATTCCTGCATACCTTAAAATAGTGGAGACCTAAAATCTCTGGAAAATCTGCCAACAACATGTATGTTTCGTGCAGAAGTCAAGTTCGTTCGATGTAATTTGAAGCAGATTTTGTAGCTGCAAATGTCGGGGACTAATCTCTCACGCTTTGGATAACAAAGGTATTGATAAAATTATTATTTCACATTACAATGACCTGGCGAAACATTTCTCATTTTAAGTTTGACATTAACGTTTGTTCAATAGTGACAAGAACGCTTGGTACAATAAAGCATCAGAAAATATGCCACACATTTTTATTGTCTAATCGACCTGTTTCCACTATGTTATTAGTAGTATTTCGAAAATTCCTAGTAAAAACTGAAGGAAAAATGTACTAACCGAAATATCCATGTTGTTCCGCCCTGTCCTTGACAAATAGCTCGGAGCTAGTTCCGAATGTTGATACTATTCGAGTTTCATACATTAGATTTTCACTCGAAATCTTGTTTTTCAATTTGAGTAACTTCGTAGTATTATTCGGTCTTACACAAGTGTAGTTTAGGGTCAGGTATATTGGTCTACACTTGGCTACTTAGTTACACTACTGATACTTGGCTCCACATCACTCTAATATTAATATCACATTAATGGGATGATTTCTGTAAGTGTAATGACCTTGTCGTCACTTCACTCCATAATGTAAAGTGTATCGTCCCATGTCTTTATTTCAACTTATGTACGTATATTCCCTTTGTTTTCCGTCTTTCGTAACCCACTTTTCTTATTTTATCTTGTGCTGTCAAAAGCAGCTTTCAACATTAAGGGTATCGAACAAATTATTCCTCTCTTTAAACATTAATTTCATACTTTTCTGTAGCTTTTATTTGATAGTTTATTTTTAATAAATGAGTAGTCAAGTTTATTGGTTATTTTAAAGCTAATTATCAATTATAGTAATCTTGTGACTTAGATGGGTAAAATCTCATCTTTCAGTTTTTGTATTCACGGCACACCAAAATCCTGACTTGTTTGGATATTTATTTATATCAAGTTTTTCGTAAGGTGAAGCAGTACACTCATCTTGCAAGACACCATTTAAGGTGGTTTACTTTAAAACTATTAACTAGGTACGAGTGGTTTGTGAAAGTGACTACCAAAATATAGCAATCAGTGCTTATGATTTAAGTCATCCTAAAGTTTTACAAATCGCCCCAATGTATTATCATCGGAATTAATTTTTAACACTAGTTGCTGGTTCTGAACACATTTTTGGAAATATCTTCGTAAACAATACCTTACGTTACTGACTAGATTGTACGGAACATTCGGTAATACTCACATAAGCAATAGAAGTGAATTTTCGATGTTTAACAAAGCGGTTCTTGACTGTTATTTCGGCGGATATCTTGTGGTTTGATAGGTTAATCTTTGGTGTGCTACTAAATGAATAAAACTGGGTATTATTTTAAACAGGTCGGAGCAATCCGAAAAGTCGAGACTTTATATTGGCAAAGGTGTAGAACTAGATAACGTTGGAGAAGGTGATGTTTGGATTCGCTGTCTTTCAGAGTTCTCTGTATTCGTACAAAGCTATTATTTGGATAGAGAGGCTGGCCGTGCACCTGGTGACGCTGTCCATAAAATATATCCTGGCGCTTATATCAAGGTATGATGTCAGTTTTAAATGGTGCGATATGTGGAATTTATTATATCAACTGGTTCTCATCCTAATTTAATAAAATTTCCTCTGAGTAATGTTTATTGGCTACAATATCAAACGCGCGCTTCTTTTTAACGATACGCACTTGGTTGTATTTATGAGTGGAATTGTTTGGTTGCAACTTCACTAAAACTTCAGGACAGTAGTAATTGCTTAAGTTAATCTTTTTGGAAAATTATATTAATCATTTACTTTTTTTCTTATGACGAGTATTTTTTTGATCTGATATTAGCTAAATCTAAGAGTGGTTGTAAAATTGTTCCGGTATTATAAGTTTATTGTAACTTATTTTTCATATAATATTTACTCGATTTTTATTTCCTATGATCATACTAGCTTGTGTAGTTTTCATTTTCTTCTAATACTAGGTTTTCGATATAAGACAGTGTCATGAAGAAATGAAATCCCTTGCTCAGTCTTCTCACGCTGCTGCTGTCCGACAAGCTGCGGCTGTTGTTGGGTCACCTACGACAAGCGATTTATTGTCTCAGATACCTGGTGCCCTACCTCTAGGTTCCAACCAATCTGCCCCAGGATCTTTACCTGGTACACTAGGTACAGGAGCATCTATTATGGCTACTGCTGGGGTCGGGGTGGATGATCTTAGACGTCTTTGTATGCTTCGGTTGAGTTTCGTTAAAGGATGGGGACCAGATTATCCTAGACGTAGCATCAAAGAAACACCTTGTTGGATTGAAATACAGTTGCACAGGTATGACTTTAAAATTTATTTTCTTACAATAATAAACTAGTACCGTATAGGCGTGAACAAATTACTACCATCTTATAACTAACTACATTCATGGTCCCATGTTATTTTGAAAATTAGTTTACAGGACTGAAATGGACGGTTTGAAATTGTAGAGTTTGCTTAGTATACACTGGAAATATTTCTCACTTTTTAAAGGATTTTTTAACCTTTGGTCTCTTTACTGTTCACTGTCTTGTTAATTATGGTGAATGAAACTACACAGATGTGTAGAATTCTAAGTGGATGCACTGTAGTTAGGTAAAATATAATACTTCTAAAGCTGGAAAGAATTAGATTTTTGTTGTGAATTTCAGAGATACCACCAAAATATCATAAAAACCATAAATCTATGTAAACCTACCTTGAAAATTCTGTTTTACTTTATATCACTAATAGTTGTCAACTACTTATGGTCTCCTCCGTTTTCTGTGTTGTTTCCACTTTTTTTTCAGACCACTACAATTGCTGGATGAAGTTCTCCAGGCTATGCCTCTTAATGACTTAAAACCAACCCGACATTTCTTTTCTTATTTTCCACAACCATCTGGATGCAACTCAGTGAGACCAGCAGCAACCAAACGTGTATAAGTTGCTGGGACTAAGATATTTCTCCTTTTTTACTTCAAGATTTCAAACGTTTATTTTAACTAATCTATTTCCTGTTTACTTTTAAATCCTTTGTCGGTAGTTTACTGCATATTTTTTAGTTGATGCACTGTAACTGATTGCTTTTTATCCAGTTCTTTTTTCTTACTTTGTAATGTCTACTATTAAATTCTGAATACAATAGTCATGGTTATTGTTTTAACAATTTAATACACATCAGGTGACTTTTAATATTTGTTTAAAAATTTTGTACGTATCCATTGCCACTTACCTAACATTTAGACCTCAGAATGTTTTAAACTATAATTCTCTCTATATTGTACAACATTGTTTATAAATATCATTTATGCGCCTTCTATCAGGTAAGTTTAATATCACTTTTTTACTATGTACCTACATCATGTGTACAATTGTTATTTTTGCCTTTTTTTTAAAAAAAACTTGTCCACAGCTGACTGATCTGTTTTAGGTTGTCTATGTGCAAAAGATCACATCATTGCTTTTTGCTTTTCTTATAATTGTAGTACAACAAGTAGTAATAGACTTCAATCTATTTATAAAGATTGAAGTATAAAACCTTTGTAAGTTATTTATTGGATTTTATCCATTCATCTATGTAATAGATTACTTTGTAAATCATAAGTTTATTGTCCTCCATTTTGTTTGGTTTTATTTCTTCTATTTTTCTCTTATTTAAGTTTGTTAAGTTTTAGGAAAACAAATAATTAGGCTTCTTGTTTCCAATTGCCTGAACCCATTTTTTTCCTTTTCTTTGCATCTATGTACTTTAATAAAACCCTCTAATATAATGTTTTAACTCGGTATCTGTTTAGATTATTTTTGCTATCTAGCTATATTTGTACGATCATGACTGTATAAAATGGCTGCTAAATCATTTTCAAATAGTGAACCGTATTTTAGGTAACTGATTAGTTTCAGCATAAGTTTAACAGAATAATTCACATCATTCTTTTAATTCCATTTTAAAAGAAAAATCGCCATCTATTTCGTGTAACTCAAGTGCAGTTTTATTCGTGAGTAGTCACCACATAAAAACACTATGTTCTTTCTGTGAAATGTAGAAAATTTCAAGATGATGCAAAATCACTTGAGTTGAAAATTAGGCTTGCAGTTATAAAAGTACTAGTAAATGATTATGTTTGTAAACTTAAAGGCTATTGAGGCTTTCCTCTGGGTTAAACCCGGTTGATGAGTTAGTTTGGTGTCTGAAAATAAAAGAAACTATGTGCGTAAAATATGCCTAAATTAAATGAGAAAACTCATAAATTAAGACCAATATTCACTTTCATACTCTCGTACTTTATATTCTTTCTAATCACACCTAGTAATGTGTGTGCTTAAAAAGGTAAATTTGAATGCAGTCATACGAATATACCGCTGGAAGAATCGTTCGCTGAAAATGATGGCCGTAACACTTCAAATAACAGTTTATCTGCTCTTTAGTTTCCTACATTTACCAAACAACCTTATTGGAATGTAAACATAAATTACTGAATCTTGAAGTTGAGAAAGCCATAGATAATCTGAAGTGATCGACAACAACAGATCCTGATACGTTTACCCCACAATTATTCAACGATATTGGTCCAATTTCACCTGATACATTGACTGTAATATTAGCAAGAATATGGAAAGTGAACGTAATCTCACCAGACTGGTCTCGATCACAGATCATTCCAGTGTATTAGGAATGACACAATTCCTGTTACGATAAACACTGAGGAATTAGCTAGACTACAATTGTGTCAAATGTTTGCCTGAATAGACCCACTGTTTCCTGTCAGATTCTGGAACACAGATATGTCTACCGACTTTTAATTATGGTTGTTTCCCTCGTTCTGAAGACAGCATTCATCTTTGTTGATTGAGAGATTCTGTGGAAGTGTGTGTCACTGAATGGCGTACTGAAGAATTAGGTTAGTCGTGTGCAGACTCTATTTTAACACTAGTGTTCGAATGGGAAATCATGACAAACTTTTATCAGAATTTGAAAATATTGAGTGATTTTCATCAGAGTTGTCCACTTTCCTCATTTTTTCTTGATTTTGTCATACATATTGTCCTAAAAATGACGTTCAACTTTTCGCTTATCGACTTTGACTTCTTGGATTATATACTCTTGGTTGATGAAGATACTGACAAAATGCAATTTTGTGACCATCTTCAGCAACAATTCAAGCATGTTTGGTATGGAATTATCTCACACTTAATATAAAATAACGCTTCATTACCGATATACATCGCTGCTGGAACTAGTGATAAGGAAATTTTGGGCGCTTCGCTCATCTTGGAATTGTTTTTAGTACTTGGGGGTTTGTGTCTGACGGAAGCTTGTTGTCAAGGTGTCACTTGTGTTGTCGGCGAGATGTCCGTCTGCCAACTAAAGAACAAGTATAACGTGGACCAGTTCGCTCCATTCTGTTCGTAGGTTATTAGTGGTCATTCATTTGTTCTTTCGGACCATCGAGTTAGCTGTTCTGAGTTTAGACTCAGGGTGCTACGTAATATAATGAAATGATTGATGAGTCGGTTGAATTTTTCGACTGAAATTCTTAGGATATGCATTATATCAATTCACCTATCACGATGGGCAAAGTTGTTCGGTGTAGGAGTAGGTTGAAAAAAGCTAATGATAACCAAATCAGGACGTAGTATCGGTTCATGAATACGTTCACAACTAATTTGAGACACCTTGGTGTTCAAGGTCCACGCGATTATCGTGACCGATGGCTAGAGACTGAATGAAGGGTCAGAGTCGTTCACATTGGCACAAATATATTCACTTTTAGGTCTCAAGTTTCTAAATAACTATGCAGATTTCTTTCGTCCCACTAATTTTCCCTCAGACTGGGTTTTCGTTACCTAATCTTATCTGCTATCACTAATAATGTTACTACCGTTACCACTGTGATTGGTTCTAACATTTTCTCGCTGTGCTAATACTTACTTACTTACTTACTTACGCCTGTTACTCCTCGTGAAGGAGCATAGGCCGCTCACCAGCATTCTCCATCCAACCCTGTCCTGGGCAATCCTTTCTAGCTCCGTCCAGTTGTAATTCATCCTTTTCATATCTGCTTCTATTATCCGACGCAATGTGTTCTTTGGCCTTCCTCTTTTTCGCTTCCCTTCAGGATTCCAAGTTAGGGCTTGCCTCGTGATGCAGTTTGACGATTTGCGTAATGTATGTCCTATCCATTTCCATCGTCTTTTCCTAATTTCTTCTTCAGCTAGAAGTTGGTTTGTTCTCTCCCACAGAAGGCTATTGCTGATGGTATCCGGCCAATGGATGTTGAGTATCTTGCGTAGACAGCTATTTATAAATACTTGTACTTTCTTGATTGTGGTTGTTGTAGTTCTCCAAGTTTCAGCTCCATACAGTAGAACCATCTTGACGTTCGTATTGAAGATTCTCACTTTGATATTGGTTGAAAGTTGTTTTGAGTTCCATATGTTCTTCAATAGTGGGAATGCGACACTTGCCTTACAAATCCTCGCCTTTACGTCTGCATATGATCCTCCTTGTTCATCGATGATGCTTCCTAGGTATGTGAAGGATTCTACATCTTCCAGAGTTTCGCCATCAAGTGTGATTGGATTGCTGTTTTCCGCTTTGAATTTGAGGACCTTAGTTTTCCCTTTGTGTATGCTGAGGCCTACTGATGCAGAGACTGCTGCTACACTGGCTGTCTTCATCTGCATCTGTTCGTGTGTACGTGATAGGAGGGCTAGGTCATCTGCGAAGTCCAAATCGTCTAATTGGTTCTGAGCTGTCCATTGTATTCCGTGTTTTCCTTCAGATGTCGAGGTCTTCATAATCCAGTCGACCACCAGAAGAAAGAGGAAGGGAGAGAGTAAACAGCCTTGTCTGACTCCGGTCCTTACTTGGAATGCATCTGTCAGCTGTCCTCCATGCACTACTTTGCACTGTAGTCCGTCGTATGAGTTCCGGATAATATTGACAATCTTCTGAGGAACTCCGTAGTGTCGAAGAAGTTTCCATAATGTCCTCCTATCTACACTGTCGAATGCCTTTTCATAATCAATGAAGTTGATGTATAGTGATGAGTTCCACTCAACTGATTGTTCGACGATGATCCGTAGTGTTGCAGTTTGGTCTGTGCACGACCGATCCTTACGGAATCCAGCTTGTTGATCTCGAAGTTGGGCGTCTACTGCATCCTTCATCCGGTTCAGCAACACTCTGTTGAAGACTTTCCCTGGTATTGACAGTAGTGTAATGCCTCTGTAGTTTTCACATTTGCTCAGATCTCCTTTCTTTGGAATCTTGACGAGGTGTCCTTCTTTCCAGTCCATCGGCACTTGTTCCTCCTCCCAAATCTTTTTGAATAGAAGATAAAGCATGGTTGTGGTTGCTTCGATGTCTGATTTCAGTGCTTCAGCTGGTATGTTGTCGGGTCCTGCTGCTTTCCCGTTCTTGATTTGTCTGACGGCCATTCTAATTTCTTCCATCGTTGGTGGGTTGACATCTATAGGAAGATCTGTGTGTGCTGCTTCGATGTTCGGTGGATTCATTGGAGCCGGCCTATTCAGGAGTTCCTCGAAGTATTCTACCCATCTGTTTCGCTGTTGTTGGATTTCAGTGATTAGCTTGCCTTCTTTGTCTTTGACCGGCCTCTCTGGTTTACTGTATTTCCCTGCTAGTTTCTTCGTTGTATCGTGAAGCTGTTTCATATTTCCTTCTCTAGCAGCTTTTTCTGCCGTCGTTGCTATTCCTTCCACGTATTTCTTCTTGTCGGCTCTAATGCTCCTCTTCACTTGTTTGTTTGCTTCTTTGTATTCAGCTTGTGCTTGGACTTTCTCTGCTCGTTTTCGGCTGTTGTTTATTGCTGCCTTCTTGTTCTTCCTTTCTTTGATCTTGTCCAGTGTTTCTGTAGAGATCCATTCCTTATGATGGTATTTCTTTAGACCGAGAACCTCTTGACACGTTGAAGTTAATGCTTCCTTGATGCCTTTCCAGTTGTCCTCCATAGTAGTTTCTTCTTTTTTCAGTAGATCTTGTAAGGCTTGGAACCTGTTGTTGAGAGCTATCTTGAATTCATTGAATTTGTCAGTATCTCGAAGGAAGGCTGTATTGAACCTTTGTATTGCTGTTTGTCCACTTGTCCAGTTCTTTTTTAGCTTCAGTTTTAAATTGGCTACAACTAGGTGGTGATCTGAAGCTACGTCAGCACCTCTCCTGTGCTAATAGGGTAAGGCAAATTAAACACATGTGCCAGGTTCTACTTTGGATATGACTGACTGAAAAACCGTTTAGATAGGACAGAACTATTAACGGAGATGGTCCTCTAAGTGATTTGAATAACAAAGACTGAAATAGTGTAAATTAAACTTGTACGCAATAGATATTAAAAGTATGTTAGTGGGTATTGTGGTGTTTTACGTGTAAACGGCATGACTGGATTTCGATGATTTTGAATGTTGATTCGAACGCTACGTTATTCCGGGGTTATTTCAGTAAATCAGTCATATAGTGATTAATTCACTTGGCTTGCGTTTACTAACGCTTGGACTGAAGCCCAGTTCCATTACGATTGACAAATCAGAGTAGTCGTAGCAACCGTCACACTAATAGTGTCTTGATGATGTTTAGGTAGGTATATTCTCGAGGAAAAGCATCAAGTTCTTTTTGGATGAAAAATCACTACGTTCTACTTAGTTTGGTTGGGGATTTCGTTGTGCTTAATTTCCTATTCAGTCATACTTAATGTAAGATAAAACACTGTGTTGCTTGCCACTAAGTGGGCTATTTTCACAACTCATTATGACAAGGAGTTAGC